GGCTGTTCCTTTAAACCCATTCTCACGCTCAGAAGTCGAACGTGAGATCCGACTGTTGAAATTGAATAAAGCTCTAGGAGCGAATCGACTTTTTCCAGCCCACACGATGCGGACTCCCAGGGGTTATGGTTCCCAATGTAAATCATTGGCTTCATTGCTGCTCCACCGTTTCTTTTTATGTGATATTCGTTTCTAAACAAAAAGCAAAACTGCAACAGAAGCATAACGGTGGGTGTAAAGCACCGTTTGTGGCACCGTTTTCTTCTCTTTGTTGAACTGAATTAGCCCCTTTCATTGCCGCCATGATTCCGATGTCACAATTGTCCGTTTTTAAGTTTTTGGATAATTAAATTTAATTATATATCATGGTAGGGTGATCTGATGAGTTTTCCGTGGCTGAAGACCAATTTCTGCTTTGGTGACGTGGACTCAGATGGCAATGCTTCGTTGGGATCGCAGCTGCCATCATTTACATTTGAGACGGTAGATTAGCTACTAGTGATGCAGATCGGGCATGTTGTGAACGAAATCGTTGGTAGGAAGTGAGGGAAACAAACACAGTAAACAGTTTTCCTCTGGCTACCAAGCTGAATGCATCAGGTAAACCAATGCTGATCTACATGCGGCCAATACAAATTGAGGTCCATGTAATGGTAACAGTTGAACACATGATGTCCTTTTAAAGCATCCCAACCTAGGTGGGCTAATTATTCTGACTGAGAAGACTAAGCGCAGGATAGAGAAAATGCAACAGCTGGCTATACAGAACTGAGTGCCACGCTACTTTCAATCCCGAACCTGGATGGTCAGAAGCTTAGGTTTCTCTGACATCAACCTATTGATCAGTGAGACTGAGACTATTTAGGAGCAAGTAGAAAGGTTTCTGTACAACTCTATCGAATTACGAAAAATCAAAATTTACTTGTGAATTATCAGCAGTTGTGTCTGGTCCGTTAATCGTTTATCCGTGTTCGGTTAGAAATTTGTATTAGCGGCATTATTTCCGGACATACAATGTCTTCTTTTGGCACTGTATGTGCATCGTTTCACAAAAGCACAGGTTTCCAAAATAATCGTCGATACGGGTTTTAAAACACTTCACAGAATCGGCCTCTATTAATCCTTCAGGTAGTGTATTCCATAAGTTTACGATTCTTCGTTCGATACAAAGCTGATGTGATACTTTGTTCATGTTAGGGACCCTGAGTTTGTAACGATGTCCTCGGGTGTTACATGATTGTCGCAGGTGAAATATTGGCCACAGTATGGGGAAGTGGCTCAAGTGTAGTACTCGATGGGTCATAATAAGATCAATTCTTACTCGGCGATAAGATAGTGTGAAGAGTCCGAGCCTTTCACAACGTTTTTCATACGGAAGCTTTCGTAGACTTGGTATCATTCTAGTTGTGATATGTTGTATTTTCTCCAGCTTTTCAGTTTCCCATTGGGTTATCGGATGGTAAGCCGGGGCGCCGTACTCAAGAATTGGTCTAATGAGTGAGGTGAATAGACGAGGGACGGTTTCTTCGGACCATGTGGAGAAACTGCGTCTTAATGCCCAGAGCATACGAAGTCCCGCACGGTACAATTTCTCTATATTTTCTAGTGATCTTAAATCATGTCGTGAGAGAACTCCTAAGTCTCTGACGGATGTGTTGGGATGGAGCAACTGGCCGTCCAAGGTGTATGATCGAGTGGCTGGACGTCTGGTGATACTGATGAACTCCGACTTGCTTGCATTAAGTGGGAGTTGCATTTCAGTGGACCACGTTGACAGTCGCTCTAAGTCATGCTGGAGGCGAGCGCAGTCGTCCTGGTTTTCAATGACCCTCCAGATTTTCAAATCATCTGCAAACAGGACACATGGTGACTGGAGCTGCTGCGGAAGATCGTTGATATGAATGAGAAATAATACTGGCCCAAGTACAGTTCCTTGAGGCACGCCACTGGTCGATGGGAACCATTCTGTCAGATAGTCATTGACCTGTACTCTAAACCTTCGTCCCACAATAAACTCTTGTATCCACTGAAGTAACGTGCCACCGATTCCGTATGTCCTCAGTTTACGAAGGAGTACCTCGTTGTTCACTCTGTCAAACGCCTTACTAAAGTCGATGTAGACCACGTCAACATCCTTCTGTTCATTGAGAGCTCTAGTGGTTTGCGTACATCAAGTTGGTGATGCAGGATCGCCCTTTCATAAAGCCGTGTTGCGCTGGCGTCAATACGTCCATCGATTTGAAGAACGACAGCAGACACTTTTTCACAACCTTCTCGAAAACTTTGGATAATACCGAAGTCAAACAGATCGGTCTATAGTTCTCTATTTTACTCGGATCACCACACTTTGGAAGCGGTTTAACTATAGAGCATTTCCAGTCGTTCGGGACGGATCCTTCAGAGAGCGATCTATTGAAAAGGTTTGTCACAGCTGGTGAGATGATAATCGATAGGGACTTGAGTATTAGTGGGTGAAGTCCGTCTGGTCCGATGGGGCTTTGCACCATTGAGGTTGACGAGTAGCTGATGTACTTCGGCTGCATCACATTGTAGGCTGTCGAGCAAGACTTGCGCAACCTGTGCCGGTACTGGAACAGCCGCCGGTTTACTGGAAAATACAGTGAGGAAGTGCGTAGCCAGGGCGTCCGCGCGCTCCGCGCTTGAAATGAGTGTCTTCCCGTCTAAGCTCTCTAAGACCGGTAGATCGTCCCTAGGTTTCAGTTGACGTTTCAAGTAGGCAAATATTCGCTTGGGTGCAGTTGTGGCCGAGGATGCTAGCTCCTCTTCGAACTGCCGGCGTTTCTTGATCTTTGCGGCGTTACATAAGTTACGCTGTTTCTTGTACACCGTGTAATCTTCATCAAAACCCGAGCTGATGTATCTATCCCAAAGTTTACGACGTCGTCGCGCTAACTGTCTGTATTCCCTATCTAACCAATGCTGTTTGACAGGTCTGATTTTTGAACACTTCAGGGGAACGAACCGAGTACACAGCGAGTTAAGCTTCCGCTTTATTAAGGACCAACATGCCTCAAGCGACGCATTCTGTGGTAGTGTCCAATCAGACTTGCGGCTTAGACGAGCCTGTTGAAGTCCGTCATCCAATAGTTGAATGTCGGATTCCGTTGGTTGTACTACGCTAACGAGAGTTCTAAGCTTGCCACAATGGAGCAGTGGTCACTATTCGCCAGAGGTTCGAGAACTCTGATCTCGTTCAGCTTCTGCTCGCAGCTGGTGGACATTAGGTCCAGACAAGATGTCGAATGTGGATTTACGCGCGTCGGTTGGATAACATGTTGCCTTACCTCGGTTTCAATAGTCATTTTAGTGAGTTGAGCCTCTACGTGGCCATGACTCGGAAGAAGCCAAACCTCTGGCCAGAATTTCTGGTAAATTTATATCCCCCATTAGTAAGAACTGAGGGCGGCTCATGTGCTTCTGTACATGTGGTATCCAATCGCAGCAACGGTTTAATGGGCTCCGGTAGATAACCCCCACTATTAGTTCTGCGCGCCTGAGGCGGATTGTGCACCACAATTGCTCGCATAAACTATCCTCGCTCCGATAGGTACTGATAAGTTTGCCAGATAGTGACGATTTTATGTACAACAGAACACCACTGTGAGCCTTTGATTTTCGGTCGCATCGGAAACAAGAGTATCCTGACAACACGACTTCTTGGGGTATGACGTCGGAGTTCAGCCATGTCTCTGCAAGTCCTAAAATATCCGGCCGCTCCGAGACAGCGAAGCGGCACAGTTCGTCACGTTTGTTCATTAGGCTGCACACGTTGGCGAATGCGACACGGAGGTCCTGGGAGGTACTGCGGGACGTGCCTGGAGGTTGAGCAACCGGTTGATACGGGTTCGTACACCCTTCTTGATCACCCGAAAATTTACAATTTGTAAGTGTGATGGGAGTGGCTTTCAGGGCACCTGAGTTTATCATCGATTGTAGGGCGCTTGGTTTGCAACACTTATTTCCCTGAATCGATTCTTCCTCCTTCATGACTTCGAGCTCCCCTTTGGTATCCCAGCCCGCGTACAACCGCCTGTGGCTACATGGCAGCGAAGCATCGGGTTATACTGTTGGCATCATATCATCTCCTGTAGTGCAGAGAAGTAGGAACTTACCCGAAACGTCGCATAACATAGTCCATTCACGTATCCCTTTGTAAACCTGATGAATTACAACACCGACCAAACCATCCACATATATCCTCATGGCCGTGTTGCTTTTACCGACGCTTGACGTTGTCAAGCCTGGCATGCTGTCACGCGGATCTACCTGCCCTTACTTGATCCACCTGTTGAACACACAGGTCAGCTTCGGAGCCGTTTTGGGGCACATTCACAATACACCGGCCCGTAGCCTTAAGGAGCACAGACCTGCATTGTAATCCGAGGGTGCGAGTTCGAACCCGCGTAGGGACCGGGCGACCCTCGCAGTTTCCTTAGCTCACGTGCGACTCGTGGTGGTTGCGCGACTGCGAGGCCTCGATACTGGGTACCGGCGTATTGCTTCTGCTGATGCCATCCACATGCCTCTCGAATTACGCTGGGCACGACGCTTTTTAATAGTGTAGCTCCGGCCATCATAGTCCCTCATCTAATGCGTGTCTTACGACCTGTTTGCGCACTTATTGTGCCAATTACAATTAGGCGTAGGGCCAGATACCCTCAATTGATTCCACTGTTGGCCCCATTGCAGCTTTGCCTACACTGCACTTGGTCGGTTCGTTGTCATTGTAAATGATTAAGGTTGTGAAAGTGGCATAAGGTTAACGGACTCCACAACAGTTTCTATTTGTTACTTTATGGATCACAAGTGATAACATAGCCACGGTTGCGAATTGTTGAAATCTTGTTGGCCCCCATGATTATATTATATGCTCTGGAATTGCGACTTTGACAATGCATTGTAATTCATCTTTATGTCGCTAAAATTGTCAATTTTCCAATTGGCTCTTCCTTTCTCTTTTCCAGGAGCAATTTACTGCTATGCGTGATCTGTATATGAAGAATGGTCAAGGATTCGTTCTTTGCTACTCAATCACTTCTCAGTCAACATTCAATGACTTGGATGACTTGCACCAACAGATCCTGCGCGTCAAAGACTCTTCCAATATCCCAATGATCTTGGTGGGCAACAAATGTGATTTAGACTCTGAGCGTGTTGTCTGTCGTGAGCATGGCCAAAACCTGGCTCGTACTTGGAAGTGTTCATTTCTGGAGACGAGTGCCAAGGCAAAAATCAATGTAGACGAGGTGCGTTCTTTGGTCACTTTCTGCTCTTGGATTTGGAGGAGTTTCCTGCTCGGCATTTTATTTTTTCTTTGCTTTGCTTCCTCACCCTTTTCAAGTAAATTACACCCTCTCTAGTGTACTAGGAATCGCTAGCTGTTACCCATGTCTTTTGGGATTGCGCGCCATGCGGCGGTTTTAGTCAAGGTTTTATGGGATATGTTGCTATTTTCCATTTTCAGATGTCTGTCATCTTAACCCAGGTTGTTGCGTAGGATGTGAAGACGCGGGTGATGCATCGGAGCTTTTTGTAAACACTTGGCCACGAGGCAGTCACCAGCGGTTGCATGTGGGCTGGGGCACTACGAGGTCGCCCGCAGTTTCGTACGTCTGAATTGATAACTTGTTTGTCATTATGGCCTACGCCCCCACAAATTGCAGCACTGCTTCGGTGAAAGATGAATCCTATCACCAGCTTGACGATACCGTTCGTTACTGAAAAGCTACGGATACCGTGATACTGGATGGTTATCTAAACACCCAAGTAGGAAAATTGTCCTCTGATGAGCTTCATCTAAGCGGCCAACGTGGCGGAGCCCCTCCTAATGATAACAGTGAGCGGTTGCTACACATGTGTGAAGATGCTCATCTCTTTCTCGCAAGCACTAACCTTCGACACGGCACCCGTAGAAGAGTGACTCGGAGCCCATCAATTGTGGACGCAAATCGATCACATCGTGATCAGTTACCGCTGGAGAGACTTCGTCCAAAACTGTCGCACGAGCGTATACTCCGGTCACGCTCTTATGTATGCCGACCTGCGGGTGCGTGTCGGCGGATGTCCGCGACTTAGCTGTGAACGCATTGATATCAACCAGTTTGCGAAGCCAGACGTTCTGAATGCGTATCAAAGTACGTTGGCATCCGGGCTCAGGAACCGCCTACTGAACACCTTTGAAGATCATTGGTTGCATATTCGTCAAACGTTACTATCAGCAGGCATGTCCTCATGTGGCAAGTCAAATTGCCAACCTGGACATTGGATCTCTACGCAGTCTCTGGAACTTATGAATGCTTGCTGACGTATTCCGGCTGGAAGCGAACACAATGCGACTCGCAAATTCTTAGGGCGATACTGCGTGATAATCTGAAGAGAGACCGCGAAGCGTGGTAGTCTCGTGTAACGTAAATGGAAACAGCCGCTGCCATTGGTAATCATCGTAAGTTCTTATATCTGATACGGGAAAATGGCCGCAGGTGACCTAGTGTTAGCGATACCATACGCGACGGGAGTGGACAACCGATCCACTGCTTGTCAAAACTCTTGGAGCATTGTGCCGAATACTTAGCAAGGCAATTTAACCAATCTGTGTTAACAGTTTCTTTTTCTTGCATTGAGTGCCGTTCTCCCTGGGCCGCACCCTAACCCCACCCTCACGTGCTGTAATCAGACGTGAGATCCGACTGTTGAAATTGCATAAAGTCGCAAGAGCAGATAGAATTCCCCCAGCCCTCTTCAAATTCGAGGGACCTGCCATCGTAGAGGATTTACACGAGTTGCTAGTGAAACTTTGGGAGCAAGAAACTGTCACGACAGACTGGAGCTCCGTCCAAATTTGCAAGGGAAGCTTCCGTTCGGTATGCGGCAATCACAGAGGGATCAGTCTGATTACAATTGTCTCTAACTTGTTTGCGTATCTCCTTCTCCACAGACGCACTCGTGAAAGCCAGATTCATGAGGAGTAAGCCGGGTGTCGTCGAGATCGGGGCTGCATCGACCACATCTTTACTTTAAGTCAATTGTTGGAGCACCGCCATGTTTTTTGACGACCTACCGTTGTCATTTTTCTAGACATTAAAGGTGCCTGCGATTCCGTAGATCAATGTGCCCTTTGGGACTTTTTGCTCAGAAAAGGTGTGCTTGATAACCACGTAAGAATTTTCAGCGCGCTTTACGCGCATAGTTCGAGCAGAGTTAGTAACGACTTATGGCACGCTGCCCTCCAATATTCCCAGCAGTGTTTAACAAGGTTACCCGCTGTAACCTTTCCTCTTCAACTTCGCCATTGACGAAGTCATGATGGCAGCGCTCGCTGGACACCACCTACACGGTGTGGATCAACTTCCTGGGTAGCGACTTCTTAACTTGGAGTACGCGGACGGCATTGCTCTCATCTGTGACAGCTCCCAAATGTGCCAAGCATCACTGGGCGGATGAACAACCTTGTTGACCACCGGCTTCTCTGGACTACTACAGAACACAAGGCGAATGAGCTACCCGGCTGTCAAGGGTCTTCGTGAATCGCCCCGCTGCCTTGCGGGTCAGGTTTTTATGACCAAATGCTCGGGATGGGGTCCCTTAAACCAACCCACTTTTTCGGCCTGGGCAACCGAGAAGATTTCTGCCCACACGACGCTGAAACATTCTAAATCCTTCCATTGACTACCTGTTTTTTCCCTTTTTGTTGTTGTTTACTATGTGTTTTGGCACTGCCAATTGTTGAATAATACTACTAATCATGATAATAACAAGCACTGGACCGATTAGCATTGGCTGTCAATCGTTTTGGCTATGTTTTGCTCCATCGAAATGCAAAGGCGCTATTTATTCATTGTGGCGGCGTACTCTCCTACGGACTGCAGCCCGGATTAAGCTAAACACTAATTCTACCGCCAACTCACCGACCTCCCTCAAGAAATGCCGCACGGACATTATTATACTCGCCGGAGAACTAAATGCGCAGGTCGGTAGACTGGAGGTTCATGAGCGCGAACTTGGGGTCAACGCAGCCACGATGCTCGCAGGACGAACAACGGCCATTGACTCCTTCAACTGTGCGTCGACCACATCTTTTTCCTTACCAGCACGAGCTGCTAGTCATTGTATCTTTACACAGTCCGATTAATGGAAAGTCGTCGAACAATTCCCGCCGGAGTTGAGTACAAAACACTACGCAGAATCACAGGTGCTGAGCTCAGACAGCTCCTCAGAAAGGATCGCGAGGTTTGGTGGACACAGCGCGTCGTTGCGATGGAGCAGGCAGCCTCATCAGGAAACTCCCGCAAACTCTTCCAACTTATCCGCTTCACGGGCGGCAGAAGAGCAACAGTGAGTGAGGTTTGCGTACAAATGACGGTGAACTAATTCACCGTCGCAGAGCACTTTGAGGATAAATTCCACTGGCCACCAGCGCAATCGCGTCTATCTTCTGGCGTTAACAGTGCTCTCTGGTGCGTGGATGTTTCTCCACCGACAGAGGCCGAGGTTTCCTATGAGCTTCGCCTACAAGTCACCTGGTCTAGATAAACTTCCTCCCGCCGTCTTCAAGTATGCAGGTCCTGCTCTCACTCGCGAACTAACATCTCTATTCCATCAGGTTTGGACTACTGAAACCATTCCATCCTACTGGAATTCAGCACATGTTGTATCTGTTTACCAAAAAGGAAACCGGGTCATTTGCTCCAACTATCGTGCCATCAGTCTCATTTGTGTCGCTTCCAAACCGCTCGCTGCCCTACTCTTGCGGATGTTCAGTTACCTACGGGACTAGCACCTGCGTGAACAACAAGCTGGATTTCGCCCGGGTCGCAGTTGCGTCGATCACGTCTTTACGATCCGCCAAATACTTGAACGTCGCCTTACGATTCAGTCGACCAAGCATAGTCCTATTCTTGAACATTCGAGCCGCATTTGACTCTGTTGACAGAGGGACTCATTGGGACTACTTACTGAAGAGGGGAGTACCTGAGAAGTACATCAGCTTTCTCCGTGCCATTTACCATCAAACTTCGGGGCGCGTGCGAGTATACGGAGACATTTCGCCCCTTTTCAGTACCACAAGCGGTCTTAGACAGGGTCGCCCAACCTCTTCATTCACATTCAACTTCACTATCGACGAGATCCTGGATACTGCCCTGGAAAACTGAGTCCTGCGGTGTTGAACTGTTCCCTGGGGGCTTATAGTACGCCCGGATGACATCGCTGCGATTTGCGAACCCTCTCAAGCCGCCAAGTATGTGTGGCTGGAATGTGCGGCTAGAATCGCTTTCGCTAAGCTTCGTCACCTGTGACTTCGTCGTGACTTCAGCCTCGCTCTCAAGGGACGGGTCTGCAATGCTACGGTACGAGCGATTCTACTATACGGCCGTTCGCAAAAGCGATGTTCAGCGGTCATCTGTCTTGGATCACCGCTGCCTGCGAAGCATTGTTGGTGTTCGGTAGTAGCATCACATCAGTAAAGTGGAATTCTGTCGGCGAGTCTTCAGATCTAACGAACTCCGCTGACTGCTTGACAGCATCATTTCACTGCAGAGGCTTCCCTAGCCTGGGCATGTGTTCCGCATGCCTACCCAGCGGCTACCACGACAAACCCTATTTGCTATACAAATATATATATATATATATATATATGCGTGTGTATGTAAAGTCCTTCTGCAACATTGGCGGAGGCTTGCTTCTGCCCTGACCCTTGGTGGTGATCAGATAGTCGTTAGGAATTCAAGTACTTGGGAAGCTATATCAGCTCCCGTGGGATCGAAGATGGGGTTACTACTCGTATAGCAAAAACGAGATACTTTTGCCAATCTCCGTCACCTGCGGCGCCGACGCGACATCACTCTAGCTGTGAAAGGCACAGTTTATAATGGAGCCGTCCGTTCAGCCCTCTTGTACGATTGTGAAATCTGACCCATCAGGTCGACAGACATAAAGAGACCATTCCCGTTCGATCATCGCTACCTTCGCAGCTTAGCTCAAGTCTAGGAGCACTGCGTGAGCAATGTGGATTTTTAGCGTCGTGTGTTTGGTGCAGGAAGTGCTAGTGAATCGTTCAGCGCCGTTATTTCACACACAAGGCTCTGATAGTTGGTCCACGTGTTGCGTAAGGCAACACACCGACTTTCGCGATGTGCGTCGTGTGCGCGCCGTGGGTGCCGTTGGAAGGGGAAAAGGGGTCGAGAGAAATGAAAATCCTCACTTTGAAGCTGGCGTCGGTTGGTGCATCACGATCGCCTGACTGGGGTCCCAAGTACGATGAACACGTTTGGTTGGATACACTTGCTGATATGGCGAGGAGCCGGCCTCAATAGCGTTTGTGTTGTAAGTTTCTTTGTTCATCACCCTCCCCTTTAGATTCCTCCCCGATTTACGTTCTCATACAAAACGCATAGTATAATATTTAACATTATATTACTCGCTTTTTGCATCATTTTTAGTTTAATTTTTTGCTATTTCTTTTGTATTGCGGCACATTAGCTGGGCGTGTTTCTCATCCTCAGCTAAACTGTATTGATTGATTGATTAGCAGCTCATGAGCGTCTTGTAGTAATGCCCATACTTTGTAATTGTGTTACTTCTTTCTTTAGTCTGGCTCCGTTGTCTGATTATAAGACAACGCTTAGTTCTCTGTGGTTTTCGCCTTTTTTCTCTGGATCTTCCATTCAGGTCATCTGTGTTGTTTTGAATATAGTCTTCGATAACCGCCTCCTCTTAATGTTAGGGATTCCGTTGGCCAGACGGCATCCCAGTGAATGTAGCGCTCGCGCGAACAGCCGCCGGCTAGCTGTATTATTTTATGAATGTTGCTCTCTAGTAATTCAGAGATTACTCCGTCGTTATCACTTTCAGCAGGTCTCGTAGGTTATAAAAATCATTGCTTTTAATAAGTCTTCGCTCCGTTTTGTTTTGCCTGTCAACCATGGTCCGGGCACCAAAGTGTGGCTGATCCAGTTGCTATGGCTCGTGTCACCATAGGGACAACAATAATCGAAAACGGGACAAAAGGACGAAGGGAACGAAAACATGATAAAATACCTTTCACAACCCCCATGAAGCTACAGTGTTAGCTAGTACAACCTAACTAACGACTGGTTTGTTGATTGTTAGAGTCGGGCGTTGCACGTGCTTGTTTATCGTGGGGTTGAAGTTAGTATGTTCCACGACGTTTGACAGTCGGATGCGCCCACAGTTTGGGCATAGTTTGTCTCTAAACTCAACTTGACGAATACGTGCGCATAACGCTTCGATTGACAGTACCGAAATCTGCCATTACTACGTATTTGTTCGTTTATCCATTAGAGATGTTTACTGTCTTGTTTTCGCTTTTTTCTGTCTACTCACCTAAGGTGTCACATCCTTAAGACCTCATTTTCACTCCCGTTTCATACGATTTCGATACACACCTGTTAAAGTGCTGATATGATTTTAGCTGAGATGGCCTGTCTGCCTGTCCGTCGCACTTCTTGTTTACTTGCGCTTTGTTGATTCAGATATCGACATCTTTATGAAATCTTGTGTATGTCTAAGCGCTTTACTGTATTTCAGGTCTTCAAGGATCTGGTCAGACAAATCAACAATCAAATGCCTTTAACGAAACAGAAAACTTCAAGGAAAAAATGCTCCGTGCTCTGAGCATTCCTGTGCCCTCCCGGTTTTGTTCACATGCACGAACCGTGAATTCCTGTTGGGGAAGGCAGCGATTCATCATCCCCCAGAACTTCCACTGTCCGTTCGAACTCCGACTCCTAGTCTCCCGCCCTCAAACCGCCTCCTGGCTTTTATGAACTTCCTTACCCGTGTTTTCACTGTCTAGTTTTTTTTACTGTCTTATTCCAGGATTCAACCAATCACATTCTCATTTCATGATTTGACCGCGTAGCTTTTGCTTTCCTCTCCCTTATTTCTTAACTTTTACTTGAATTGAGAACAATTCTTACACATTCACCGGTGGTGCGCACGACAGCATTACCCTAAACCCCCGGCTTTTGTCACTCTTTTCGTTGCACTTGTGTTCGTCTTCGCTACGTCTTTCTGCACTACTCTGAACATACGTGGCACCACGAGATTTGTTTTGTTTTACTCTCGTTTCCAGTTTTGTAATATTTTACCCCCCTGTACTTGAAACACTCCTTTTTTCTTGCCGCGCTTTAGTCGGTGATGAGCCCTTTTATGCTATTGCTGTGTATCGGTGTCCAACACAACTAATAGTCTATCTCTCTGTCAGATTAAGAAGCATATGGTTTTCCACTCTCTTTTGCACACTGTAGAAACGATTTTCGGTTGATGTACTTATAGTGGAACATATATTTCTCTGCAACACGGCGCTTTGCCTTCATGTCATCCACCACATATTCATCGTTATCATCATCATTACATGTTAGCTGAGGATGAGAAACGCCTTCGCTAATGTGTCATAATACAAGAAAATAAGATACTAAGAATAACACTAAACTATTCAAAAACTCAAGTAATATAATGTCAGATATTATCGTTTGCTGCGAGATCAGGACTAGAGAAGGGATTTACAGGGGAAGGGATCGATAAAGAAACTCACAACACAAATGCCATTGGGGCCGGCTCCTAGCCACGTCATCGAGTGTGTCCAACCAATCGTGTTCATCGTCCTTGGGACCCCAGCCAGGTCGTCGGGATGCACCAACTGACGTCAGTTGCGAAGTGAGGGTTTACATTCCTCTCGACCAAGTCATCGCTTGGCCTCCCCTCTTTCTCTTCTCCGGCGCGTTAACTACATATGTCGCGAAAGTCGGTGTGCTGGTATACGCAACACGTGGACCAGCTATCGAAGTTTAGTGTTGATCGGATCACTAAGTCTTCTTGCACCAAACACACGACGCAAAGCATCCATATTGCTCGCGCGGTGCTCCCACCCGACATGAGCTCAGCTGCGAAGGCAGAGATGATCGAACGTGACTACCCTCTTTATATCTGTCGACCTGATAGGCTAGGTTTCGCAACCGTAAAGGGGGGTTGTACTGACGGTTGCATTTTAAATTCTGCCCTTCAAAACAGGAGTAATGCCACGCCGGCGCCACCGGTGACTGAGATTGGCAAAAGCGCATCGAGCTTTTGCCATACGCTTCATGACCTCATCTTTTATCCAACGGGCGCTAATATAGCTTCTCAGGTACTTGAATTCCTGAACGACTTCTATCTGATCACCACCAAGGTTCAGCGCAGGAGTAGGTCTCTGCCAATCTTGTAGAAGTATTTTGCATTTCGATGGAGCAGAGCATAGCGCAAAACAATTGACAGACAATGCTAATCGGTCCAATGCTGCTTGGCACGTTTGCGAGCTGTCACAGATAAGCGCAGTGTCGTCAACATACTCCAAGTCTTGAAGCTGCTTACCAGGAACTAGCTCCACACCTTTTACCTGGTGTCCAGGGAACGCTGCTTCAGTGACTTCGTCAGTAGCGAAGTCATCCACCAAAGACGTGCTCAGTTAGTTGCTCACCCCCGCCGAATCTTTCCGACGAACTTTTGCCCAATATCCTGTTTCGTTGATTATTATCCAGTGGATTTTACACACGCACCGGTTGACTTTCGCATTGTTGTCATTGTTTCTGCATTGTATTTTGTCTAGTTTACAACACATCCCACCGTCTTCGCCAACGGCCTGGAAGTATCTTGTTTTTCTCACCCATCATTGTTGGAATCGCAAGAACCATCTTCAGTTACTTATGAAATACACGAGGCCTAATAACAGCCATCACTTCGGTGACGATCCCAGTGACCGTATTGACAGAGGCCAACTTCAAAGTCAACCGAGGCCACGATTGAGATTGCGTGTCGCAATCCAAGACATACGGCTGCTGCTCCAAAACCCGAAAATCTACATCTAACCGCTGTGTCAAACACTGCTCGCGGAGATCAATGGCCTAGTGAGTATGGCGATAGCCGTCCGGCGCTATGCGCCGAGTTCCAGCTCGGCTATCTCTACCTGATGAGTCTAAACAAAGACGAAACCGTTGGTCTTGGAGTGCAGGGATGGGAGAGAGCCACACCAAAGCCATCATTTTTCTCAATTTATCCGTCATTCTCTCGGATTCACTTTTACCTAGAGATCTCATCTGTTTCAGTGACACGTGGATTTCGCTGAGAGTGAACACTGATAGCGTCATGGTCTGATTTGACTCAGTCAACATCGCAATTTGCGTATCCCGTGACTTTTATCATGACCTTTCGTTCTTCGAGACAGATCCACTAACGACTTCTAAATCGCAGTGTACTGCGGACGGTACACAATTCGTTCACATTTGCTTAGAATTTCTGAAGTGATCTGCTAAATGACGCGCACAGATGTCTCATAAAATGCTTGAGTTAGCTTGCCATAATGACGTTTTATCATGGGCTATACATATGCGTTTTAGTGTGTCATCCCACCTCCCCCAGAGATTCTACCTATTCGCGGCTAAATGGAAAACCGGAGGGAACGGAAAATAAGAAGCTAGGTCGAAATTGTTAGCATCATCAAACCGAAGGACCAACAGTTTGTAATATCACGCGGAAATGATACAGTCATCTCTCCCGCGCCACCTCATTTGATTTTCGTGCCAACTCGTGTCCTCCATCCAGATGGATGACGCAATGTGATAACTCGGCTTCCAGATGTCCTCTAGCGATGTCATCGCTTTTATTTAAATTCATTCAATTTACTTTTTTTTACCTGAACTACTGCTTTCGTAGCAAGCGACATATTGGCGTGCACAACCAGCGGATCTTTGGAGTACCTACTTATTCGGCTTTTTTCGCCCAACAGTTCAGCCGATACACTGACGGTCAGTTTCTAAGGTTTAATTGGCGCACACTTGGATTGCTCATTTGACCATCTAACCATACAAAGCGGATACTTTGTAGACACTGTGATTCTATCGTCAAATGACTTCCTCATATTTCTACCACACTTGGACCGGAATGATTCTATCAAATCGTTTATTTGAAAATCACGGTAAGAAGACGAAAACTCGTAGATGCACGCATTTCATTTTGTCTTCTCAGTACCATTAACAATAACCGGTATACAATTATATACTTAACTATGCGTGTGACCGAATAAGCGTTATTTGGATGACATATTGGCCTTTTGTTCATCGAAGCAGCAAATTTTCCAGTTTGTGCAGCAACTCAACTGTGCACATACCAACTTGCGGGTCACCTGCGAAGTGGAACAGAAGCACTGTCTGCCATTCTTAGACATCCTCATCAGTCACAGGGATGACGGGCTCATTAAAAGGTCTATCTACAGAAAAGCAACCTGGTCCGGCCAATACCTGTACTTCACCAGTTTTACACCAGTACATTACGAGCGGATCCTTGTGAAAACTTGCGTTAGTCGTGCTAGACGAATTTGCTCAGCTGATTGTCTAGCCGACGAGCTAGAGTTAATTACAACAACACTCCTTGCAAATGGTTATCCACGTAGATTTATAGGGAAACACAGCCAACAGCGAGGCCCGAAAGACTTGGTGCATACGGCAGACAAGAAAAAGATCTATATCGAGTTGCCTTTCAATGGTGAGTTTACTGTATCAAAAACCACGAAACGTTTACTCTCTGCCAAGCAGAGAAGTTATTGTGCTGCTCAGGTTGTGGTCATCAATAGAACCTGTAACTTGCCGGTGCATCCAATGAAGGAAGCTCAACCGATAGGAGCCAAATCATACTGCATATACAAATTCATGTGCGACTGCGGAGACAGTTACATAGGCAGTATCAATCGGTCTTTGACTTCCCGAATAAGGGAACACGTACCAAGGTGGGTTCAACGTGAAATTAACCAGCATCCCTGTCCCCCTGAAGTTCCGTGCTTGCGCAAGCCGCCAGCTTCCTCAATAGGTAAACACCTACTGACTACGCGTCATCGGATAGAGCTCGGATCAGCATTCACACTTGTGTTACGTCACCCTAATCCCCGCTTCCTCCGTTTCGCCGAGGCCGTTGCGATAAGCCGGCCCTGTGTGTTCAAAAGCAATTATTTACCAGCTTAAGACTGCCGTGGATATAGGGGGTGGAACTTTCGTCATACATTTTGCACCTCATGCTTATTCGGTCACACGCATATTTAAGTATATAATTGCATACCGGTTATTGTTAATGGTACTGAGGAGACAAAAGGAAATGCATGCATCTATCAGTTTTCGTCTTCTTACTGTGCTTTTTACATTTTTGAAGAGAACTAACTGCTTTAAATCGTTTATTTCTTTCGCAACTGATCTCAACATTGCGTTCTTTGCTGCGCCTTGGAAGATCAACTCACTAGAACCCATACAAAATCTTAACACAACCTGATACTATTACTCTGGCCTTCTGCATATGTCCCGGGTGATAGTTTTGCTGTTGCTGGTCAAAAGCAACGAACTCAAAGCAGCGTGATGCGAACTCACGAACTAGAGCTTGCAGCTTGGCCGTCATTAAGGTAATCGTTTGTCATTACCGGTGCGTTATGCAGCAACTGCCTTCTGGACAATATTGCCATTCTCATCTTGCTCCGTCGAATCTGAATTACAACCAATTATCAAATCATCCGCTAGTATGGGTACCAGTCGTATTCGACTTCGTTCCAGAACTCACTTGGAACACACGAGACTTTATTAAGCAATTGTTTGTCAGCTCACATTGGGCTTTCCGTCGGGATCCCATTCCCGCAGACTGCTTTTTTCGCATATCCCGATTGCAGCTTGGTAACCCAGACACTACATATTCGGCAACGAATTTAGCCGCGGCTTCTGCCTTTGTAGCTGTGTCTGTATTTCGGAGACATCAGTTTCCATGCTCATGCCCAGTACTGTTTGATACCTAGCTTGGCAGGTTTACGCATATCTTTGACCAAGCTAAGGCAGTCTGCCACTGGCGAACTTTTTCTTAATCGCTCGTAATTTGATTCATCTTGGGACTGGGTGATGATCTTTACATTCCTTGCTGCTTAGCAAAGGATCGGTTCTCTTTTCAATACCTACTGGGCTGTTTGTTCGGTTGAGCGAGTTTGTGCGGTGCCAGATATCACCGGATACTATCAATATGTTTTCACTAAAGAATGAATATGTACTTGCTGTGACACATGGTGAATCTATGGCTGACTTCTGACGCTCCTGCATTGTTCCCGTGTTTTTGTACCTTACTTGTACCTCAATTGTCTCCGTTGGAATCTTATTTCTGCAAATAAATATTACTTGTTATTCGCTCGCAACTTCGCTCCACGACCGGTTTCGTGGTTAGGGCGCTTGGTTTGTAATCCAAAACTCACCCGTTCTATTCTGGTTACGTACGGTAAACCTCACACTGTCCCTAGCCCGTATACGACTGTTCCGTTTTGCTTGACAGCGCAGCGTCGATATGCGGTACCGGAGTACTGCTGAGGCCTTCAGGTAACGTTAGGTGCGCTGTTTCCGGTGCGACCATTTCAGCTATCGAATAGTTCGAGCTTCACTTCCATGTTACTCGCGATCACACATAGCGCTGCAAATGAACCAACAATATTCCATTAACTTTTGTGGCAAGCTTTTGCGAGCGGCTCGGTGGAGTCGGAATAACGGAGTGATGCAGTAGCCTCTACGGTTCTACCATCTCTGCCCGAAGAGTATAGACAAGTGAATAACTCATTATTACAGGCAAGGAACGCCTAACAGTTGTTTGATTCGGATATGGTCCAACTGCTCAGACTGACCATGCTTCACTTCTGCATTTATCGTGATCCAGACTGGTGTCGCGTATCACCATAAACCATTCACATCACTAGTGTTTCGAGGGAATTAGCAGTGAATGTTTTCTTTTACTATTTCTTATTTAAGTTAAGTTCGTCATTTCTAAACCCTGTAAGACGTCCACCATACATCCGATAAATACAAAATGGCCGTTCCATCCTTTCGGGAATCATCGGCAGTGCGCATCACATGTTATCTGCAAACCTAGAACCCGCGGTCCTAATCTTCCGAGTCTGTGGCTATTGTCATTGGGTCACGGGGCCTGAGCAGCAACTGTCATGACCAGGTGACCATTTATCAAATACCGCGACCCTCTTCTTCCACTGCACACTACTGATGATTCCCGATAGCATGAAATGGTCTCCAGTGCTATCCCGATTATGCATAGGCTGTCCGACCGGGTGCGGCTGTTACCAATCCAATAACTTTTCACTACTCTGCACAGTGCCAAAACCGTTTCTAGTACTTTCGTCGACCAGTGGCTTACAGGTTCAAATGGATGTCCTGTTGTCCACAGGTCACAGGTTCGATCCTGTGTAGACGCGGGCGACATCACAGTATATCTAATCTGCATGCGGCTGACGTTGGTCAGGTAGTAGCAAAGCGTCGGTGCGAGGTGTTGGCGTACTACTAGTACGCTGTTTTTCAGGCTATTTAAGGCGATTCATTTATCACTGTTGTAGCCGTGCGATCTTAATTCTCGTGAATCGCTTCTCACACCGAGTTTGCCGTGATGATGAATGCCATCTCCCTAGCCTCCAATCTGGTGTCTTACTGCCCATCTATTTTTTCGATGACTTGGCGATTCGCGTTTAACGGCGTCCTGATCCGCTAAAATCCTAACGACTCAGTTCGTATTGAGACATAGGTAGAGCTTGGCATGCACACGAGGGCATCAGGCTCATTAACGAACAGTTGCAACTGCAATATACTTTGACACCCTTGCGTTCTGCTTGTCCGCGACTCCTCTTTATTTGTGTGAATATACTGATTACCTACCCTTCCTTTGTCGTGGCAAGCCTTGGCGAAAACTCCTCTTCATGTGCGTAATCGCTTGTGTTCCGCAACAATACTGCAGCTGACTGTTTTCCAACGGCTTCTTCCACAATTTCGAGTCTGATTGCGATGTCTGAGTGCCATCATCGAGATACGCGTTATCGTTTCATCGGTACACTTTATAAGCGTTCTAAGTCAAACGTTTACCTTACATTTTTTCTATTCACTTGCGACCCTACTTTGGCACACCGTAGGATCACCGGAATACACTTTGAATCCCTTTGCAAAACGGCGGAAGCTTATCGTACTATCATCCCACGCTTGTAACCTAACCTGCCTTAAAGCAGCTGAATTACCACGCGGCGCGCGCATTTTTTAACTGTTATGAGTACATACAATTGACCGGTGAGTGTGCTTACTGTCCACCTCGCTGGATTCCTTCTTTGCAAACATCCGCCACGTTTTACGCATTTTTTCATCCCTGGAAACCGGTGGTGTCAGCCAACCAACAGCAGCCCCAGTGATCAGTTCACGCACTCAGTAAACATAAACCGGTTCACTTTATATAGAATTTCCGTACGGACACGAAAGACTGATATTTAAAGCTATGTATTTGCTAGAACTAAATGCAAAGCAAACATTGCGACTAGTGCTTTCCAAACGGAACGCTAATTTACAGTACACCTCTCGAAGTGTGCGTACGGTAGACTCACGGGGATGCTGTTGCTCAAAACTTGTGGCCTCTGGCCATGCGTGCAATACATGCGCTAATTCCGATCACCAATAGTAGGACGCTGATGGCCAAGCTCAAGACCGCTTGCAGCTCCAATAACCCGGGATCAGTGGATGCCAACAACTGGTAGTCTGGGCTGCTTGGAGAGAATGGACATTGGGATCCCGTTCTTGGTGGACAGACCTCTGCCTGAAACCAGAAATGTACACAGCAGCTTTCTATCAAGTGTTTCACTCATATCAACTTTATGGCACTGTCCTTTTTTTGGTAGTTTCATGTTGACTAATCATAGCACGTGCTCATTCGATTGGCAAACTGGTCCATAACCACAACATGATAAACCAGAACGCAAGGCAATGTGTTTACTCATTTCGAGGGATCAACTGTCAGTGGATCACCATTACTTTTCACGTGTATTGGGGAAGCCTGTGTTTAATAACAATGTGCGATCTCAAACCAGCATTAATGACTCAACATGTTTACACAAGTTAGCTGCCCCTTAGATGCGTCCTTTGGGCTGGCCAAACGCTAATCGACACAATCATTGCTGGTAGTTGCATGTCACCGAAGTCATCAACCATAGCTACTCCCTCCCTTCACTATGAGTTGGTTGCACGCTTTCTCTCGACAAAAATGCCTAGAAGTGTCGTCAGAACGGCACCACGCGAGCAAAGCGAATCCCAGACTGAAGGACCAGTGGACCCCACGGATCTTACTTTGCTTATTTCCACCGGTACTTGTTCAGTCACCTAGTGGTGTGACCCGGACCTATCGGCTAATGGCATTTTTGGGAATTTGGCCTTTCAGTGCGTTGTTAACAGTAGTGCCATACACAGAAATACTTATGAAAGATTGCGCTGTACGATGGCCAGCAAGCTTCTCGACTTTCGATTGTAGGTCTTGATTGGCCCTCAGAGCTGGGCACTTTGATTGCAGACGTTTTATCATCAATTGACGTATCATCACTACGTACCAGTGAATAGTTTGCTGGCAACTACTGTTTCTCAATAAAATCCAGAGACGTGTTCAGTCACTAGATTTGTCAGTTGTCATTTATGTGTACTTTCCATTTACAGCAATTCGGAGCGCTTGACACACTTAATTTTCCTCGCTGTTACTACTAAACAGCAATCCCAATAAAATCCGTGTACTTCCTTGTTTTTCGTATGCCAAACACATTGACCAAGTTGGCCAATGATCATCCCATAAACATCAAGCTGTTTGGGATACAGGCGTACTTCACTCCTATATCCTTCAGGTCAGGCAGCTCAGTCCTGAGCTTGATGACGGGTGCCTGCAGCAGCGACTGCGTATGTCAGGGAAGTTACGATCAGATCTCATCAAGTACGTCCGTTAAAATTTTGCGCCCCTGTCCTGATTTGCCTTCAAGACTTCCATACAGTGGTATAGTATTTTCTTAATCAAAAATGTCATATACTATGATTACCTGTCCTCCATTGTACCCTACGGCGTGCACTGCGTGCAAGCGAAGAAACGTTCATGTTGCCGGGTTGGTTATTAGAAGGCGTTAGCTTGATGCACAGGAATCAAAGCAAGACGGGCGTTCTTTTGGGGTACCGAATAGCCTGGGATGTTCTGGAGTGTCTTCTTGGCTCCACACCAGCTGCCCTAGGTTCTCGTGCCTCATTGCGCAGCTATTTGACATTCACCAATCACCCAAACAGAGGGCCAGTATGCATAGGTTCTTGTCGTTGGGTTATGCAGTGGTTCATCATGCTGTCTCTTTACAGATCATGGAACAACCAACTATCGAACTACATGCACACCTGTTCTATTGTCCATGATCCAGTTTAGGTTATTCTGTTATCCTTGAATTGTCTTCTGATGCTGAAGACGGGCGGCTTGGCATTGCCCCGCGTACAACTACATCTACCGTTTTCCTCCCTCTGCCCGTAAGTCATGAAGCTTCCGTTGTATACGATGATTACTTAGGGCCGCCAGTTATAGTGATCGGTTCCCATACAATTCAATACCCGAATCATGCATAAGTACTATAAATGGAAATGTTGTAAGTTAAAAACATGGCCGTATCATGCTTTAGCTTTATGGTCATTAGTCTATTGTGGGTTTGTGACTATTCCCATTGGGGTTCCTGTGTTTGTCAGTCTCCTCCAGGTTATGTACTGAATACTGAGACTATGCAAGGATTAGAGATGCTTCTGTGTAGCTGCATCTAATATTTTTAAAGCTAATCAACCTATTATAATGACGATTATTCTCGAAATCTCAAGTCGACAAAGTGCGAGTTCAGGAGTTTCTTATACTCCTACACCGACTTTGCTTCGACTATGTTTGCAGGCAGGTTGTTCCAAATATTCCCCACCCTCTGCTGGAAGCAGAGTTGGTGGGCGACCCGCTTCAAATGCCTTACGGCAAGCTTGTACCGGTGTCATCGTGTGCTGTTTGGCATGCGCAGATAAACAGCGGCCTCAACATGGGGTAATCACCCGGATGTAATATCCAGTGCGTCATGCTGAGGTCAACCCGCATTCGACCATAATACGGTGTAAAACTCGTCTCTTGCACCGGTCTTCATATGGCACAATTCGTAAACCGGGGATGAGCCTTCTGCCAACATGCTGTACGCGCTCAATCCTTCGCATCTCGCCCCGGATGAGCGGAAGTAGGCGGGTGAGCTATACTCTAACATTGTACTGATGATAGAAGAGGTGGGTGGCAACCTGTTCGGACCAAGTGCAGAAGTTGCAGCTGAGCGCGCAGAGCATGCGCAGTCCGTTTTGGTAAAGCCTGTTCCTGTTTTCAACGGATTTCCAATCGCATCGTGAGAGCAAGCCGAGATCTTTCACGGGTGGTGATGGCCGGCCAGATTGTAGACTCGGCCATTACCACCCTTGCCCAGGCTCATGTATGCCGACTTGACTGGGTTGATTGGAAGCTTGACATTTGCTGATCACATGGAGATGTGGTCTAGATCACGCTGAAGCAGATCGCAGGTAAAATGTACGCAATCTCCAGTCCCATAGATCCACTCTAGACTGTAGGTTTGTCACTAGGACCACGCTTCATTCAAACTTCCTGATTCGATGATGGGTAACCGCTGCCTTAGCATCGTCCTGTTTGATTAGTTCCTTGATCCTAACTTTTCCGCCTGGACATTCAATGGGTTGCGGAGTGGAGCATTAGCCTTACTCACACCTTGTCGAAAGGATGTTGTGCCACAGCCTTTCAATGCATTTTTTTCTTTAACGGCTATGCGTCGAAATCCAATCATCGGGAAGACACTGACATTGATAATTTGGATGAATTTCCTCACCCATTTAAATTCGCTCGTGAGCTAATTTTCAGCTTCACCTCATACAATAGCTGTTTGTCACCGGATCACTTTTCATCACTGTTTTCTTGTAGTGGTCGATCCCTCTTTGTCCTATTAGGATCCAGCTTTGATGGCATCAAGTGGTTGGACACTTAACCAACTCTGTTTTAGTACCGAGACCCTACATCGTACATGCACACCTATTCCAATCATTTATTTGCATTTCATTGAGGATCACGAAGTTTATGTGCAACCACTGTAGTCCACCTACATCCCTCAACATTCGACCAATCAAATGCAATTTACTCAGAGCTCCTTTGCTTCGTTACTTCTTAATCACAGTATGCAAATCGTAGGACACCTTTCTTCATCAAGTGCTCCATTTTAAGCAGTGAACTCACATATTTCCATCCTTGGAGTTGGCTTCTTGTGTTCACACTACAGGCTTGATCCACACATCCATCTGCGTACTACCAGATTCGTCTTATGAGTCATCAAAGTTGGTCAGGGAAAGTATAGGTGTGTATTTGAATTCAAGCGTTAAAACTATCCCTGATTGCTACTTCGAGACAATTGAATCTTTTTTTATCTTCACAGTACCCTAGCGCGATTGGTTGACCTCAAATGCACCGTTACATCTCACTATCCTTCATAGTGTCGCTTTCAGAAAGCTAGAAACTAATGTGGGTGCAGAATGTACCGGGCGTCGTTTGTTTATTTCGCATGGACCTACTTATACACGACTATCTCAAACGTCCATTTTCCTTGCGTCCACATCAGGTCCTCTGGCTTGATCGATAGCGATGTCGTGTGACTTCGTTACGTGAGGTGGAAGGGGTCAATACAATCAACAACCTTTGGGTGTTGTTCCCACTTCTCCGTTGCACCTTTCCAAGGGGCCTGTGGGTGAAAGGCTTATGGATCTATTTTCTGACCCACCAACTTGAACACTACGATCCTACTGTCTCACCACCGTTCCATGCATCGCCGGAACTCATCTGGATTGTTGACTTTCAATATGAAGTGGTACTGGGCCCCGAGTTTCCACTGTTGTTGAAAGGCTTAGCTGACTGCCCGACTTCTTGTCGAGCCGCCTAGTGCAACACTGTATGGTATACTGCGGCGATGTTATCAGGCTAGTGGGCATTGATCGCCATCCGCTTCGTTAAAAGCTCGGAATGCATCGAACGAAACCAGTCGTGGTATCTGCTTTGCTGCCATAATCTCCATACCTATCCCAACCGTAGTTCTACAATCGGTCTGCTGGTTATCCTACCTAGTGAATGAGTTGAAGCCACATCAGCTTCAAGCTCAGTAGGGACTTTATTGATCGCATGATAGTGCATCGTTACAGACTGGAACAGTGGGATACTTACAGTCAACTTACTACCATGGTTTAATTTATTTGATCGCATCTGCTTGCGACACTTTTGCTTAGGGAGGGTTCGCTGATTATTCTTTGGTATTCCTAAATCTGTACAGCGGACCGCCTCGGCCCTGCAATGGTGTGCAAGAATTTAATTTGTTACCTCTCCAAGACATCCGGGGCGTGCCCGATTTCGTTTCCCTACTCAGCTTTGTGCTTGAATAGGGAAGTTGTACCGAAGGTATCTCAGTCTCTAAACAAACCACGAACTCGGATAACCACTCAGCACTTTCATCCTGGTAGCTTTTCGACCTCTGGTGATTAGGACAGCGAAGAGGGTGCTACGCGCATCATCCAGGCTGGTTTTACTCTTCAAAGCCTCAAGCATCTGTGAAGATGGCGAGATGTCAACCTGCTGCAGCTGCCGTGTGACTAGCTACTTTTTGATTCAGAGACTTGGTCACTAGACTCGGCAGACTCAGGAACCGGTCGTTTTTGACTATTGATGCCTCGACTTTGTCGCTCTAAATAGGACGGTGTGTCAACTGAACAACGCCGATCTCCTCACGCTCGTATTTTGTGACGTGTCTGGTGGAATGCAAACTCTTGTGCTTTTATACCGTCTTGGTCGGCTCGGTCATGCTTTTGCGTACCTACAGACACTTTACCTTAAGATGTGTTGTTTGTCTTCGTTACCTTTAGTTGCGTGAAACCACGAAGTGATTGAGCTTTCAGATTATCTCTAAGATGTCCGCTGTACTTGATCGAGCTGGTGTACTGCATCTGTCTGGACGAGGCTGGCGTGATCGATCACAACTTGTTACATCATCTTTCCTGAATGACTGGAGCGCAAAGCCAGTGTTGCTGCTGTATCTGTCTTTTGTTCTTGGACATTAACCTTTCCATCTGAGGATGATCGCTTTTTTACCATTTTCGCTCTTTCAAATTTTCTTAATTGTTGACTGCTACTGTTACGGAGACCTTATTCAAATCAACTGAGTCCGCCGATTTCCGTGCTCGGATCATAATTTCTAAACGACTAAACAGGACTGCATGTGTTTGTTTAACTTTTAAGCACAGGCATAATTTACCTACCTGAATAAGTTCGCCAGGATAAGATCGCATTTCGTTGTCGGACATTGTGTTCGGGATTCCGGCAAGATCGTCAAAGTATGGCTGCCAGGGGGATGGGTCACGAATGGTAGTCGAGCGCCTTCTCGTACGTGTCCTGTTAAAACCGCAGATAGGCAAACATTCCGACCACACACTCCAATGTTCTGCCTGAAGTAAAAGAAACAATCGTCTCAGGACGCAAGTACGCGATATGGTGTGTGCTAAATCGTTTCACCATAGGGCACCAACCTTGTATTCGCACATTGCTCCGTCATATCCCGGGTTGCACACACACATGCTTGTGCCGTTTTGTCCCGACGTGGACACGCACGTGCCATGTATGCATAACCGTTCATCGCAAGGACCAGCTCGTTTGAGGCAATTGGGCATCGGATGAGTGGGATCCTCGTAGAATGGGGCCTTGCATTTGCACCGGTAACCTGTTGTTCCCAACGTAGGAATGCAGACCGAACGCACATCATCCGGTGACTTCTCAATTTTGGTAGGAGCTGGTAGGGCGATACCTGACATGTTCGTGTTACACATCTCGTTCCCACTGGCTGTCTTCCTGCACAATGTGGATTCAAAGAACAAAACATGAACCGTGTGTGCTTTGACCTAAAATGGTCACCTACGCAGGCATCAGGTCAAGTCAAAAACTGCTTCGTACAACTTCGGCGGGTGAATATTCAGCTACAAGACACACACGATCTCAGAAATATACCAGCATATAAACCATTACAGCAAGCACCATAAATCGGTTTGATAAGGAACAGATAGCATCGCCATCATACTGCGAGCCGGCTGATTAGGTTTAGAACGAGAGAGTGGGTCTCGCAGAAAACGCGAAAGATAAGGGAGAACAGACGAGCGGTAGACCTGTGTACGAACATAAATAAGCTTGTACTTCCGCCTTGTAGACGAAGTTGCCAAAAATTCAGATAAAGCGATGTGAAGCGCATGACTAGTATCAGCCAGTATCTTAGATGCCAGTTTTTTTTTACAAGAATTTGTGTGTGTAGGATGGAGTGTGTCGATAAAAGTAGACATCGGAATGCGGCTACATCGAGATAAGTGCCGTAAAGACCTGACAAGTAACCTAAAGCGCGTACCCAGAAGACCGAAGAAAATCACAGCGGAGCAGTAGGTCCAGTGGGGTCGAACACAGGCACTGACAAATCGAAGGATCAACTCACGAGGGACAGAGGAGGCTCAGAGGAGAGACATAGAAAGACGACCTTCGTTTACATGAAGAGTCCAAGATAGGTCGTAGTTCAGCACCACATCTAGGTACTTCACTGATGTGACAGAGTGTAATCCATCGTCGTCAATAAAGTGCTTTGGGCACTGAGTAAGAAGCTGCGCGTACCTTGCTTCTTTGTGTAGCGAAAAAAGCTTATCATGGCACTTTGATGCATTAAGTGACAGATTACAAGCTTCGAACCAAATATTGAGGTCTTTCAGATGGCCTTGCAGCCTGAGTGAGGAATCGGCGGTTCGATGCTTAATGCTCAGGACAACGTCGTCAGAATATTTTAGTAAGGTCACTTCTGTGAAAGCTGTCATTGAGCTAACGTAAGTGGAAAGCAGAAAAGGCGACAGAATTGCTCCCTAATGAAGCTCGGAGTTGGGGTTTGGTGGGGACGAGCATCTGCCACTGAGTCGCGTAGTCTGGGTGGGCCCAGTAAAACAATCACTAAACAAGTAGGCGATGTTGGAGTGTACTCCTTGAATGTATAGATCTTTTAGCAGCAATTCTCAGTAAACGCGGCTGAATGCATTGCCATAATCAAGGAAGCACGTAAGAGTTGATTTATCTCTGTTGTCGAATGACGACAGTACGGGACATACGTGGCAGGCCACTAGACCTTGAACTGTGATAAGCGAATTGAAGGGGGTCAATGGAGCGAGTTTGGGTCCTCATCAGTACAAGAATGATTTTTTCAAGAACCTTCAAAGCAAAAGAAGAGCAAGCGATAGGTCGATAGTTATCGAGTTGATACTTCAGCGCTGGTGTGACACTGACACTTTTCCAACAGTCAGCGATTTTACCTTTCTGCGTGCACATTATGTATACAGACGCAAGAGGCGTTGCTAAAAGGTCAGCACATTCTTTAAGTACGATGGGAGATAACTTATCCGGACCGCTGCCTTTACCGGAGCGTACGCATTTTAGTCAATTATTCACAACTGCACTTTGGATGGGAGGCATAGTTCACGGACACCAGAACTTCGGAACAGTAAGGCTCTGGGGCTTTGGTAGTTTCTCAGTTACAGAACTCCTTATTCAATTACTCTCCATTCGCATCGAGACAGGGTACATGTCGAGTAAATCCGCTAAGCTGTTTCAGAATCCTCCACAACTCACGACAGCTGCGGTTCCCATGAATATACTGAATATGCACTTGGCAAACTCAATGTAGCTCCTCCTTGATGCAAACAGTAAGAGACCTTACTGAGATGCCGTCTTTTCCTTTATATGCTTTCCCCTTGCGTCGGCGCAATTGCTTTTAGTGGGAGGAAGAGAACCTGACATATAGAGCTTCCCAAAAACAACAGATATCGAAACAGAAATTCAGATAACTAATCAAATTGCCGCAATACTTAGATACATCAGGGTCAAAAGATGAACTCAATTCTGTAAATCCAATCATTTCACGAAATCGATCAATATTTTGTGTAGAGCATTGCCTCCACTTGAACTTTAGATCACTACAGCGAGTGATATCCTGATGGTGTGTTTTGCTGTATATGACGGGAGAAATTTTGGTTGTTGTATGATCAGAACTGCCAATTGAAGCCCGATTACATACAGAGAACCACTTTGTATTATTAACGGACACCAGATCCAGAGTTGCTTCTAATCTGGTGGGTAAATTTAACATGTTCCGTAAACCCAGAGTAGTGAGAAAAGGGGTATCAGATCTGTTGAAATCTCCGGCGAAGATACATAAAGTACGGTCGATGTGTTCTATGACGGCTGCCGCAAATTCGTCGTAAAATCCTCTGCTTCAAGTTTAGGACAGGTGGGAGATATATAGATGTTAACCAACAAGTGAGTGGTAGCCACTCAAACACGTCGGCATGCATTGTAAGACTAGGAAATTAATGAATTGTAAAGATGGATCATTGTGAACAAGGACTCCTCCACCTCAGTTTTGGTACGTGCAAGGGCGGTAAACCCGATGGCAGATGGATTCAGCTTATATGATAGCGTCATTCACTTCTTCGTGAAGCCAGGTTTCTTGCAACCTGATGATGCTAGCTGCGAAAATTCTTTGGTAGAGACTGTACTCGATACTTCATCTAATATTCCAACGAGCGAACGGATGTTAGCGCTAAGCAATACAGGCACGCTCAGATCTCCAAGTTTTCTCTTTCAAACTGCGACTCTCCATCTAACATCAACTTTTCGTACAGCATTATTACAACGTAAAACTTCTTTTCAATTGACTTTATATATATATAGTTGGCGGCATCCGGTTTCGGATTTGCCTGTCACTGTGGCAAGCCACAGGACGCCTGCGCCTACAGAGGGACCATGGATGGCTTGCGCTGCACCACCCACAGCTCCAACCACATACCCCATATCCAGTGTAAACCCGAAGGAATAAGACCGGGAGGCATGCGGATGGAAGCCACGTTTCATCAACGGAGCCGGCCCACACTCCTTCACAGGCAAACACAAGCACGCTGTATTTGGGGAATCAAGCGCACACAAGGCGGTGGCTGGACCGTAGTCCGCTCCACACTGAGTGCATGGAACCGCTCTTTGAGCCTAGCACGGCCACAAGGACCGTGCACCCCGTCCCCTCCAGCAACGACCAACTGTCTCCTGGAGCCAGTATGAACGATGTAGTGGGTAATAGACAGGTAGGCACCTTGTCAACATACACATCAAGCGCAACCATACCAGGGGATATCAAACAACAGCCAATCACTTGAAACGACAAGATGAAATAAAATAAATCCAATAATGCATACAGATACGGTGGCATAACTCTTCGCTAAATTACCATATGAAGTAAGTTGGTTAGCAACGAAATCGTGATAAGTAAGAAATGTCCACAAGTTACTTAAAAATGCTACAAACGCAACAAAGTTACCGAAGATAAGCGCAATTAGCGTAAGCAACGTGGCCAGTTAATAGAACATTATTCAGGGAGGCAGAACAAACCAAGTAAAGCGGGATGAAATTTAGCCAGCTTAAAAAGACCTAGTTTAAGTGTAAGTTGGTTTAGCCCAACTGCTGTGAAGAAGCATCAAGAATGCAACATCAGCCTCAGCATGGGGCACACATACATACATGGCTGGCGGCATCCGGTTTCGGATTTGCCTGTCACTGTGGCAAGCCACAGGACGCCTGCGCCTACAGAGGGACCATGGGTGGCTTGCGCTGCACCACCCACAGCTCCAACCACACACCCCATATCCATTGTAAACCCGAAGGAATAAGACCGGGAGGCATGTGGATGGGAGCCACGTTTCATCAACGGAGCCGGCCCACACTCCTTCACAGGCAAACACAAGCACACTGTATTTGGGAAATCAAGCGCACACAAGGCGGTGGCTGGACCGTAGTCCGCTGCACACTGAGTGCATGGAACCACTCTTCGAGCCTAGCATGGCCACAAGGACCGTGCACCCCGTCCCCTCCAGCAACGACCAACTGTCTCCTGGAGCCTGTATGGACGAGGTAGTGGGTAATAGACAGGTAGGCACCTTGTCAACATGCACACCAAGCGCAGCCACACCGGGGATAGCACGCAACAGCCAATCACTTGAAACGACAAAATGAAATAACATAAATCCAATAATGCATACAGATACTGTGGCACAACTCTTCGCTAAATTAGCATATGAAGTAAGTTGGTTAGCAACGAATCCGCGATAAGGAAAAATGTCCACAAGTTACTCAAAAATGCTACAAACGGAACAAAATTACCGAAGCTAAGCGCAATTAGTGTAAACAACGTGGCCAGCTACAGGAAGACTATCCAGATAGGCAAAGCAAACCAAATATACTGGAATGAAATTTATGCAGCTTAAAGAGACCTAGTTTAAGTGTATGTTGGTTTAGCCCAACTGAGGTGAAGAAGCATCAAGAATGCAACATCAGCCTCATATATATATATATATATATATATATATATATATATGGGCTGATGTTGCATTTGTAGCGTTTGTAGCATTTTTCAGTAACTTGTGGACATTTTTTCCTTATCGCGGATTCGTTGCTAACCAACTTACTTCATATGGTAATTTAGCGAAGAGTTATGCCACCGTATCTGTATGCATTATTGAATTTGTTTTATTTCATCTTTTCGTTTCAAGTGATTGGCTGTTGTTTGATTTCCCCGGTGTTGGTGCGCTTGATGTGTATGTTGACAAGGTGCCTACCTGTCTATTACCCATTACCTCGTCCATCTTTCTCCAGGAGACAGTTAGTCTTTGCTTTAGGGGACGGCGCACGGTCCTTGTGGCCGTGATAGGTTTGAAAATCTGTTCCATGCACTGAGTGTGGAGTGGACTACGGTTCAGCCACCGCCTTGTTTGCGCTTGATTCCCCAAATGCAGCGTGCTTGTGTTTGCTTGTGAAGGAGTGTGGGCCGGCTCCGTTGATGAAACGTGGCTTCCATCCGCTTGCCTCCCGGTCTTATTCCTTCGGGTTTACTCTGGATATGGGGTGTGTGGTTGGAGGTGTGGGTGATGCAGCGCAAGCGACCCATGGTCCCTCTGTAGGCGCAGGCGTCCTGTGGCTGGCCACAGTGACAGGCAAATCTGAAACCTGATGCCGCCAACCATATAGGCGGGCGGGCCTATGGTGCTCTGTTGCTTGTGATGGCTAGATTCTGGCAGATGGTCGACCCACTGCTGTTGATGTTGTGCCATCGGTTCATATCCTTTTCGCCTGCACGTGGCGACCGCTGGGTGGGAGTTGGGTTACGCCCTTCTCGTAACTTGGAGCCAGGACACCAATCTGCATGAGTGAGTGGTGACCATGTGCCAGACCCGCTTTTTTCGGTTGTACATTTAATCGAAGACTGGCTGAGGAGCCATGTCGTTCTGTCTGGTGTGGGCGCCCTGCCATTATCCTAGTTTAAACCACCTCCTCTTCGGAGGTTTGGAAATGTCCATGGCCCTCTTCTCGTAGAATCTAGCCCTGTGAGACAACAGGTTCAAGGGGTTATAAGCTCATAGCTCGATTGGCGTAGAGCAGCAGCGCCACGCATTGTCTTTGATGGTGGGAGGGCACCTCCGGGTGCTCAATGGTTTGCCACTGCCCGCCTCAAGCCACGCAACCCCCTGTTTAAATTGGTGCAAACCCTCCAAAACCCTCTTGCATCTGACCTTGGTCGCACGAACATACTTACTACGGTCGCAAAAAAAATCGTGAATTGTTTCAGATCCTCAAAAGCTGTATCAGAGGCCTCGGGCAGACCCTAATGGGTCTCTGCAATCACACTATCCAGCTGGATCTGCTCCCAACTACTTTGTCGGTCTGGCTATTGAGTCAAAAACTGCGGGCGGAGTTCCTCAAGCAAACCAAATCACCCACTGCCTTGTGGGTCAGGCTATGTAGGCAAAGGATCCGAGCGGCGTACCACAAGCAAAACTTCTAAGCACAACCACCACGACGCGTGCGATTGCCGACCAATATAATCGTAAATTTGCGTGCAAAACATTCAACATCGGATGCTGGAACATGCGCACACTACTAGACCGGAACTCGAGTAAGCGTTCTGAGCGACGCACGACACAGGTCCCGATGGAACTGGTGCGCTACACCATCGATATTGTAGTGGTCAGCGAGACCCAGCACGCTGAGCAAGGGAAGTTGCGTAAAGCAGGTGCTGGCTACCCATTCTACTGAGTGGCAAACCCCACGTCAGCACCACGTGAACATGGGGTCGGATTTGCACTATCCGATCATCTAAATGTCGACCTGGTGGGTTAACCAACAGGAATCAGCTTGCGACTAATGCCTGTTAGCCTACGATTCGGAAGAGGTAAGTTTGCCACTGTTGTAAGCACGTACCGTCCGACCATGTGTTGTCCTGATGACATGCGTGATCAATTCTACACTCGATTATCCTCTGTGATACGGTCTGCGCCGAAGAGCTGGGTGATTTCAACGCGCGCGTTCGGCGTGATGAATCAGTGTGGACATATATTATCGGTCCGCATGGCATTAGTTCAGCGAATGCGAACGGTGACAGGCTGCTCTCACTATGTGCCACTCACGACCTGATGATCACGAACACTCGGTTTGCACTGAGCGCGAGTGATGTAGCAACTTGGACGCACCTACCGCGTGGTCACGCTCACCTGCTCGACTACGTCATCGTACGTCAGCATGTACTGCGTGGAGCCGAGTGAGGCACTCTTCACAAAGTGGTACGAACAAGATTGTACATGAATGTTCGTAGATCTATGTATTACACTCCTGCCATGGATCGGAGCCGCGAATTTAACATTATCTCCCACGATACTGTGGCGAAATGTATTGAGATGGCTGTAGGTGACAGTTGGTCGTTGCTAGACGGGACGGAGTGCACGGTCCTCGTTACCGTGTTAGGCTCAATGAGTGGTTCAGTGTACATTGTTTTGTGTGGTGCAGACTATGGTCCAGTCACCGCCTTGTATGCGATTGATTCTCCAAGTACAACGTGTGTTTGCCTGTGAAGAAGTGTGGGCCGATTCCGTTAATAAAACGTGGCTCCCATTCACGTGTCTCCTTCGGGTCCACACTAGATATGGGATGTGTGGATGGAGCTGTGAATGGTGCAGTCAAAGACACCCATGGTCCCTCTATAGACGCAGACGTCCTGTGGCCACAGTAACGGGTATATCCGGAACCGGATGCCACCAACCAGATATCAGTGCTTTGACAAACCTGAGGAAAATTATACCCATTGACAGAAGTAAAAGCACATACTTCCGTACATTTTAGTGTAGTCATATGGTACCTTTATTATCGGATGATCCTCAAATTGACAGCGGGATAACTGAAGTACGGACGAAATTTCGGTTTAGAAATAATTGAGTTGCAGCAGCTTACCTCACTTTTTTCCCAGTTTCCGGGTTAGTGTATATATACGTCACCAATTTCATTTTGCATGCATCTAATTTGTCTTTGCAGCGTGTTCCATAATAGCCAGGATTGCACTCACAGTATGCAGCACCTGAATGTCTGAAGGGCAAAATATGGGGAATGAAATTTTAATGCACGGGTTCTCATAAACAACTGGTTGATTGTGCAAAACGAAGTGCGCAGACGGCTATTTCGTTTTTGTTCTACGAAGTTTCTGGATGCACCTACTTCTGCGTTCAGCTAGGTGCATTGATTAAAACGCACACTATATGTTGGATTTCGTCACCTGAAAGCAAGCTGTGATTCACAGGAAAGTCGGCAAAATTGGAATGATAAAATTGAGACATTCTTTGCCAAGCACGGATCACCTAGCAATGCACACTTTTGGCTGGTTACATTACCCCGTCACACAAGGCACTTTCAGACATCAGTGCATGAGCTGAAGAAGTTTGAGGGTAAAACTTCGTTTTGATGTAAACCTGAATTAACAAATGATCATCTGTCCAGGGGTGGATATTGTTAGTGGGTATAGTTCAGCCGGGAAGATGAAGGCAGCACCCGGCGTGCTTGCCAGACGTGCGGAGCGTCAGCAGCACCAGCATGCTGCATTTTCGTTACAGCCACGTAGACACGCGGGTAGTTTGGCTATCAGAGAGATCGGCGTTTCTGAAGATCGCTTCGCCAATATCAGCAACACTTTCAACTCAGTAGTATTTTGCACCTATCCTTCACTATCACACAATCATGATCCCCCCTTGGAAGGGAATAGTAACAACAGAGGTGGTGGGCTCAATGTAAAGCCTGAATGTCAAAGTCAGGCAATAATGCAAACATCCGACTACGATACGATGGTAAAGTGACGTGTGCGAAGTGATTTTTAGTGCATCGTAAACAACCTCACCTAGTTAGTAAAGTGGCGTCATTCCCATTCTAAACAGGTAGGTCGACTGGGCGACTGCGAGCAACTAGTCGGGACGAGCACAAGCTATGGGTTGTAAATCCTCGAACCAGTACAGAGTGGGTAGCTTAAACCCCATTCTTGCAGGTGTGACTGATCGACAGTCCCAAGCAATCATCGGCGATATAACTTATCACCAATGTAACGGTTGCTTCCTTAGCTCTCATGCCCTTCGCTGAAAACGGTGCGAGAGCACAGCTAGCTCCTATGCATTACCGGATAATTTACTTTGCTTTTCTTTTTGGTTTCGAGAAGCTAGCTAATTAGCACCATCTATTATCATATTCATCTGCGCACATCGTAATTGGAAAAGCACTGGTGCCCCCAGATACGGGTATGGTCTCACAGGTAATCTTGACCTCTGTCCCGAAAGCAGCTTCGATCTTCAGCCGTGGAGATGACAAGTCTCATTGTTGTCCTCAGTATTAGATCTTTAAGGCTAAATAACACTCACTTAAGGGGAACATGGCCTTATGCATTAGCGTGGCTCATATTGTTAAAAACATGACATACAGATTAAGGTGAACATGAAATTCCCGTCACGCTTGGTGGGCTCATGCTTCACGCGCACATGAAACTTCAAAATCCATCGTCACTGTCATGTATGCTATCAATTGTGATGGCCCCTATTAGTTTGTTTAAGTGTGGTCATTCTTCACAGCCGTCTGCCTATTCTCGCTAGTGGATATCAGTGGCAACGAGTACTCGATGTGCTAAACGCAATGCTGTAGTATCCACACTGTAGGCTTCCAGTTATCCGGTAGTGGTGCTGAAGGTAACGATCACGCGGAAGACTAGAAAACCACGAGAACGGGCAAGAACGGAAACTGGCACAAGCATCATGGACGAGCTAAGATTGCACAAAACAAATCACATAGAGCGAGCGAAGAGTGGATCGCGAGCGACGAACGGTAGCGGGTCGGAGCCAAGGAGAACAGAGAAGTATTAGTCAATATATATATATATATATATATATATATATATATATATATATATATATATATATATTGTACACAATCTGTGGTACAGATATTGTGCCATCGGAATCATGGCTGAATAGGAAAACAATATGAATAATAAGAAAAGAGCAACAAGAAATGCTTTTTTTGTCAAGTTTACCACTCACAGTTTTTGAAATTTTTTTCAGTTTGTTCTTTTTTAGGGGGAGGAAGAAGGGTCAATAAATCGGATAGGAACGCCTTCGTAGGTGCATCCAGGTGTAAACCCAAACAGAGTTGCACAACCGCAATCAAGCAAATCATACGACTTAGAGCAATTCCATTCTGGTCAGCAAGCGATTTTCGGAAGTGGAGATGCGGAGTCAACCAGGCAGCCAAGACCCGCTAAGCTAGGATAAAGCGAGGCACCAATGTGATGGATTGTAAGTTCTCATATTTGGTGCGTTGTGGGACAGAAACATGAACGATATTAGCGCGCGTGAGTGACAACGGTTAATTGTGCTCTCGTGCAATAAAAGCCGTGCTTTTTTGCCGCTTCGTTCTTGCTACAATCCCATCTTTTCACACATTACCCACGCACTCGATTGTTGACTATGGATAAGACATTGCAAGGATCTTTGCGATTACCATTGAGGTGCATTCCAAATTTCACGCGGATGAAACGCTGCCACTGGTTCACTGACCAAAATATTTCTTATATCCGGGCTTTTGATCCTTGCGTGCTCACTCACCATGGAACCATTTATCATTTAAACTAGTCCAGAATTCCACTCCGCTGGAATGATCTATCGTCGTCTGCTATGAAAATTTCCTATTGCAAGAAATACCCAAAAATCGCAGTGGACAGTCGTGGCAATTATTGGATGATTGATCAAGTATATTTCATCTGCTCTGATCTTCATTTTTGAGACAAGTTATACTGTCATCACGAGGTTAGTTTGACATGCCTTTTACTAGGTTAATCGGAATGCGCTGGATTCAGATTGATAAAACATATTAATGCAGGCTTAGGTTTACTCTTAAGTATCCTTGACCTCCATTTTTCGGCATCTTAGTCTTCTAAATTCCCTGGTTATTACCTATCCTGTTTCTGTAATAGTAATGGGCTTACCAAAGATCCGATAGCACTTCTACATGTTACTAGTTGTTACTTAATGTTGGACTACGACCGACAATATCTCTTGGTACCCTGTTCCACTTTGAAGTAGACCAAGGTCATTCCAATCACTGTGACCGCATCTGAACTGGCGAGTTTTCGATGTTGGCTGCTTTCAACACTACTACTTAGCTCAATGATCATCGTCACTCGATCGAAAATTTATTGCTTTGAATGCATCACTTCAGAATCGAATCCACGACATCAGGCACTGAACATAATTGAGTCAAAGTACGGTTAATGTTTTTCCTTGTCTTTCAACTTATACATGACGCGATATAACGTTCCGTCAGTGACCGTATAAAAGAAACTGCTCTTAATGCTGGCCTTCTGACTGGCAATGAAATGTTTAGTGGGAAACTCCCAAACTCTGTAAGTCTACTATCTTCCTGTCACTGGTAAAATACATACAAGTGGTACATATTGAGCTACCATCGCTTTGGCAGCCAATTATCGTTACCAAACTGGAACTCTGAACAGTCTACCGGTTGAGGAAATGAGATTAGCATCAAATAAATTACTTATATTCAATTCGTGTATAATGCCCATTCATCCATTATCTTTGCAAATGTTCCCCATGTCGGAATCAGCTTCTTACAACCACATGATCTGGACACTCATTCTGAAAGGGTCCTTTGAATGGATTATGTCGTGTTTATCCTCGCACGTGTGTTGATACATTTAGTAAGCCTCGTTTAACGCACCTTGTAGTCCCAGCAGCCAAAAGTCAGCACCCTGTGCATTGATTCACTAACATGCAATTCGGTGGATATTGCGGACCATGCCCACGCGGAAAATCACAGGCGCATGGTTTGCACACCCACTTGCAAATACAAAGTCTGCATTGCTGCAAACACTACTACAGCATCACTGCACCACATCAGCTTTGTTTTACCTGTCCGAACAACAAATGTTTGGGTTAACAGAACGCGGTCTACGCCAACTGCTGAATCACCAACTGTAACAGCAAAATACCTTAAGGCTGTTGAGCTAGGAATAGTGTTTACTTTTGACTTCGTTTATCTGGAGTAAGCAATCTATATGAGACTGGATCTTAGGGTGGTGCGATGGTTTGTGTATACACCGTGACCTATTGAGCTATGCTGGATGGCACTTTCCAAGTGCCTTCAGAACCACTCATGCCAGATAGGCCAATGGTTAGGAGTCAGATTGTCTCACAATCCAATCCTCTTCGGAGGTTAGGGAAAGGTCGATAGCCCTCTTCCTTTGAAACCTAGCCATGGGAGAAAGCAGGTCTACGGGTTATAAGCTGAAGTTCGATTGGCGTAGAGTAAGAACGCTCGCAGTGTCTCTGACGGTGGGAGGGTACCTACTGGTGCTCAATGGTTTGCTACCGCCCGCCTCAAGCCACGCAGCCCCTGGTCATACTGGTGCAAACCCGCCAGATCCCACCTGCGGCTGGCCGTTGTCGCAGTTACGTAAGCTAATACGGTCGTACATCACATGTGCACTATTCTATGTATGACAGACCTCAAGAAGATCCCAATGGGTCTCTGCACTCACACTTCCGAGCTGGACTTCCACTACACTGCCTTTAGCATCAGGCTCTGGATGGAGTCCTCTAAGCGATCTTCCATGTACCCCACTGCCTTGTGGGTCAGACTGTTAAGTCAAAGGCAAGGCATCTCGAACAAAACCCCTCTCTCGGAATGGGCAACCAGAGAGTATCATCCGACCTCTCGACTACGTTGACAATACTCCCTCTTCTTGCTTTTCTCTTTCCTCCCCCTTCTCTTCTCCGTCTGTTGAGCAAGAGGCTGCTGCTGACTTCCAGCTGCTGCAATACATGTAGCTCTTCCATCAAACCAAGAGTCTCATTTCACATTGGTTCTTTTAACGTCCGCACTATGAGTCAGATCAGTCAACAGGTATCACTGATTCTCACTCTTCTTTTGATGTGTGCTGTGTCTCCGAAACACGCATACATGATAACAGCGTTGGGACGAATCCTCGACTCCCTGGTTCTGAATCTGACGAGGATGACTACACTCTTCTCGTCTCTGGC